CGCCTGAGTCCTCCAGTGCCTTCGAAAGACGCTCTATTTTCGCGTCGAGTATCCCGATTAAAGCGGAACACTGGCAGTGGTCTTTCGGGATCTGCACTGGGGGTTGGGTACCGTTTCGGGGGACTCTTCTCTTCGCTGCGGTATGCATCGCACCCTTGACATAGAGTCAGCTGGCACAGACAAACGGGTCAGGAGAGTTGGCTAGTCGGCTTATTTGGTCGTCCTGTAAACCCGTGCATTTGAAATGCCACCAGGCCTTGCAGGCGTGGCATTGCATACCGCGTTTGACGTTCGACGGGCAGCCATTCCGCCCACATCTATTGTGGTCTACCAATGGCTGCGGAGGGCGATCGGTATGGATTGACGTCATGTTTCGGACTAGATGTAAAATAGGTGTGCGCAAAATATGAAGGGTTATCACTCAAATGTTTTGTTAGAGTAATAAAATTCAACAATTACTCGTGTGTACTCTGTGAATAGATTGAACAACGAAAAAAATTTTCACGAATTTGCACGAGGGAAAAACGAAACGTACCGTGCGATGATGATTCAACCAATCATTCAACCAATCATATCTCGGCTCGCAGCCGGCACTAGAACGTCCCAATCTTTGGGCCATTCTTGTGGAGGATAGGAGTCTCGGCAGAAACAACCCCTAACTTGGGGCGGTGAAGTGGACCCGTGCGGAATTCTGCACCATAGAGTTTCAGGTACAAAACCTGCGTCGGCGTTCCAGGTGGTACAGATTCGTCCGCCAAATGTTAGGGCAATAAGGGAACATCCAATCAGTTCGCCGACGTAAAATGGTTCTGTTTGTCTGGTATGTTGAAAATACCAGATTGAAAGCAACAGCCTTAATACATGAAGGCTGCCGAACGCACCGGTCACCTTTCCGTCTCTCATATCAGGTTGACAAATACAGGTTTGACAAAAAGGTCTGCCAAACACAACCATCTGGTCCTCTGGGCTGTGCTTGCAAAATGTGGAGACTTGTCCCGTAGAAATGGTAATGCATCTTGCAAAATGTACTTGTCCCGTAGAAATGGTAATGCATCTGCATTTCCCGCGGGGCACCGGTGTCTTGTGGCTGGGCTTCGGATTAAAAGCAAGCCTTGGAAACTTTAATCGTCCCTCTGTTGAGTTGTGCGCAACTTGGCAGCATTCCAATGCATGTGCAAATATGACGCGTGCGTCTAACAAGAAAAATCATGCCACATCTGCCGGCGCGTGATGCCATCAGCCGGATCGCCTCACTCGCTACATAGGAAATAGCGAGTAAGCTAAAACAGACTACTTCTGGTGCTCCCTTCTTTCTTTCACACAATTTTTCTTCCCCCACTCCTCATCACACTAATGAACATCACATAGTAATCCCAGCACTTAGGGCTGATGGCTCCGTTCGTCTTGCATCGGTTCTGCAACACCT